TGCCATGGGCTTGGCTTTCTGGGCAGGCGAGCCCCCATGGGCACTAACCGTCTCTCCCCTCCCTGTCCCCACTGTCTCCTGGCTGGTCTTCCTGGCCAGACGCTGGAGGGTGATCTGCTCTTTCATATTGCAGTACATGACTCATTTCTTCCTTGCCTTCTGACTTCCTTTCTTTCATTCCTCATTCTTAACAGTTTTACCAGCTATTTAAAATGCATACTCTTAGAAAATATAATGCAAATGCATGGAAAAGATGGAAACGGTGGGAAAGGAACACAGAGAAAATTGTCTTCCTTCCACCCCTGACTCTTGACAAAAGTTCCCTTCTGAAGGACGCACCACTGATACTAATTTCCAGAGTATACCTTCCCAGAGAAATTATATATATATATCAGCAGAAGTACCTATCTATCCATGTGCGCCATAGATGCAAGCCTGTCATGTGCTTCCTGCAACTTGCTATTTCAGGCAGACTCCTTCTAAAACACCATCCTGCTTAAAATACTTTAATAGATCCCAGTTCTCTGCAGAATAAAGCTCAGTCTCTTCCTGGTCAGAGCATCTTTCACAATCTAACTCCCCAAATGAGCATTGCCTTCCAGTCCGGTGCCCCTCTCCCTCCAGCTCCCTCCTCCTCCTCCTGCCCCACCCAGGTTTCAGCCTCAGTGGATCTCCAGACCTATAAGTCTCACTGCTGTTAGTTCCTTGGTCTAAAGACACTTGCTTTACCTCTTCTGCTTGTCAAAAACATTCCTTTTTTTTTTTTTAAAGATTGGCACCTGAGCTAATATCTGTTGCCAATCTTCTTCTTCTTTTTTTTTCCTTCTTCTTCCCAGTGCCCCCCAGTACATAGTTGTATATTGTAGTTGTAGGTCCTTCTGGTTGTGCTGTGTGGGACGCCACCTCACCATGGCCTGATGAGTGGTGCTAGGTCCGTGCCCAGGATCCAAACCAGCGAAACCCTGGGCTGCTGAAGTGGAGTGTGTGAACTTAACCACTTGGCCACAGGGCCGGCCTCTCATTCGCATCTTTAAAGAATCAATTCCACATGTCACTCTGCTGTGAAGCCTTCTCCAAATTTCTCAGCCACGTTGACTGTTCCCCTTCTCTAAGGACCCTCCCTGTCAAGTTCTGTATCCATCAGTGGGTAGTTCATTTATTCTCTGAACACCCTTGAAATGCCAAATGCTGTGCTAAGGGCAAGAGAGACCACAAGAAACAACACAGTCTCTGCCCTCAAGGAACCTAGCAGTGAAAAGCGACACACTATGATAGCAGTGTGTGATGAATACAAGGTGCTGAGATATGTAGAAAAGGGGCCCTTCGTGCATACTGGGCTGGGACTAGTTGGGGAGGTTCCTAGGGGAGGCAGAACCTAAGCCAATGCCTAAAGTTCTAGAAGGATGAGCCACGCGAGGAGTTGTGGAGAATGGGGAAGAGTCGAAATGTCCCTGAGGAGCCATGTCGCACCAAGAGAAAGGCAAGTGCAAAAGTTAAGGAGCACCAGATTTCATGTGACATCAAAGCTCTCAATCAATATGGCAGGAGGCTAGAGCTGTGAGGGCAAAGTCAGGTAACCAATGGAAGACAAAGTCTTGGGTAAATGATAAAGTACTCTTCAAACAACTGGTGTAGGAGTAAGTGACTCATCAACTCTGGCAATTGCAGATTCATAATCTTTGACTTCCAATTTGCAGCAGCCTCTGAAGATTTACAGAGGATTGGAGGAAGGGCAAAGATTGTCACTCAACATGATGGCCTTTGAGTACTTAAATTATAGATATTGACAAGGTGCTGCCGGGAAATTTTGAAGGTTAGCATTTTGGTGAATTGCTCTGTAAAACCACGTACATATTAATAATGCTAAGAGCGGTAGGGATTAGCCTCTTTTGAGGTCTTACTCTGCTTCTGACACTATTGTAAGTGCTGTATGTATTAGAATCTATTTAATCCCAACTACTTAAAGCATGGGTATACTATTACTATTCCCATTTTATAGATGAGGAAACTGAGATACTGAGAGGTTAAGAGGCTTTCCCGATGTCGCAGAACTTGTTCATGGTGGAGCCAGAATTGAAATCCTAGCAGTCTGGTCAGAGCCCATGTTCCTAACCACTAGACACCACTGCCTCTCCCCAGCTGCAGCTGGCGGGTGTTTGGACGAGCCTGCTGCCAAGCCTGGTGACCCAAGCCCGTTCCAGAAAATGAGTCCTGGAATAAAGGACAGATCGACAGTAGGTGGAGTGTGCATGGCCTGCCCTTGGCATCCTGAAGCAGCCACTGTCTGAAAATAACAATTTGGGGAGTTCAATTAACAGCACACTTGCAGGAACACCAAGAACAAGAGGAACTCCATGGGTGAATGACTTGGGGACAAAAATCAGAATTGAGGGGCCTTGGTTGCCATCTTTCAAGCTGCCATGGACAGCAACAGGCAGAGCTGAATGTGCCCCGTTTTGGCAGGAGAGTGGTCAAGATTAATTACCCAGATGGATCGCTTTGCTCAGAAAAAGCCAGCAGATGGTTTGATGTAGTGACTTCTGCAACCATAAAACCAGGAGATGTATAGCTATCTCTGTGCTAAATGGGGCCTTGAAGAGATTAACCTCACGTATAAAGTGAAAATGATATGCATGAGTTTTACCAGGTAGGGGAAACAACTCGTGATCCTTGCAAATAATCATTTCATGCCAAGGATGCTGGATTCAAATGTCAAACTATGGAAAAGCTTTCTTGAAAGACAGCCTATGGGACTGTGGGAGAAGTGCTGGATTCTGATAGGCAGAAGATTAGAATTTTATGTCAACGCCTTGCAAAGATCCCTGAATACATAAGCTTTAAGGAAAGGGGGGTAGGTTGGAAGTTCTGTTTATTTTATAGCCAAGATATATCTTCAAAGTGAATGTGTGTCAACGCCATCAACCCAGCTGGGAGCTTTGTGACCTCCACCCACTCCCAGGGGAAGGTGAGAGTGAGGCCAGTTGGGGGTTGCAGGCTGGGCTGTGGTGTCTGGGTTGGCGCATCTTACTGCCTCATCAGCCTTACTCGCTGGTCCTACACTGGGCTGCATTTCTGCCAGCCGCACGCGGCATTTCTAAGGTGAAGAAAGATGTTCAAGTCACAGCTCTGCTGCTGCCTAATGGTATGATGTTGGGTGAGTCAACATCTCTGAGCCTCAGTTTATTTGTTGATGAAATGGGATAACAATCCCCCAGAGATGTTGCAAGGATTGAGATAGTGATATGAAAAAGCTGCAGTCACCCTGACATGCTAGCTGTCGTCGTTAGCAGGATTTGAGGCGTAATTCACCTGATATCCTCCTTCTACTGCTGGTCCTTCACACACCGCTTTGTTTCATTTGTTTTTACCACATTTTATTGCACTAAATTAGATATACCGTAAAATTTACCATGGTAACCATTTTTAAGTATACAGTTCAGGGGCATGAAATACACTCACAATGTTGTACACCCATCACCACTATTCATTTCTAGAACTTTTCCATCATCTCAAATTGAGATTCTATACCCACTAAATAATAACTCCCCTCCCTTTCTTCCCTCCCCTAAGCCTCTGGTAACCTCTTTTCTATTTTCTGTCTGTATGAATTTACCTCTTCTGGATATTTCATGTAAGTGGAATCATATGATATGAAACCTTTTATGTTTAGCTTATTTCGCTTAGCATAATGTCTTCAAGGTTGATGCAGCCTTGAAACATGATGCATGTTGCAGCGTGTGTCAGAATTTCCTTCCTTTTAAAGCTGAATAATATTCCATTGTATGTGTATACCATGTTTTGCTTATTATTCACCTGGTGGTTGTTTCCACTTTTTGACAATTGTGAATATTATTCCTATGAACATTCATGTAAAAGTACCTGAGTTCCTGCTTTCAATTCTTTTTTTTTTTTTTAAGGAAATTTGACTTTTTTTTTTTTTTTGAGGAAGATTAGCCCTTAGCTAACATCTGCTGCCAATCCTTCTCTTTTTGCTGAGGAAGATTGGCCCTGACCTAACATCTGTGAACATCTTTTCTATTTTATATGTGGGACATCTGCCACAGCATGGCTTGATGAGTGGTGCATAGGTCCACACCCAAGATCTGAACCGGCGAACCCTGGGCCACCAAAGCGGAACATGAGAACTTAACCACTGTGCCACCAGGGTGACCCCTCAATTCTTTTGAGGATATACCTAGGAGTGGAATTTCTGGGTTATATGGTTATTCTATGCTTAACTTTTTCAGAAACTGCCTGTTTCCCACAGCAGCTGTACCATTTTGCATTTCCATCAGCAATGTACAAGAGTTCCAATTTCTCCACATCCTCACCAACACTTGTTATTTTCCGTTTTTTTAATAGTAGCCATCCTAAGAGGTGGAAATGGTAACCTCTTTTGCTTTGAAGGGTATCAGTTACATCTCCACGGCATGAGAAACCCTAGAGTAGATACGGTTGTTTGCCTATCACTGGAACTCTGGCATGTCGGGGAGGGTTTTGGGTACCAGGAGTCCTTTCTGCAAGAGTTTTTACCCAAAACAAAATGGTTTTCCAGGGACGAACTGGGAGAAGGACTTGGGGCTGTAATCAGTTGACAATTCTGTCCGTTTGTTCATTTATTCATCCACTCATTCATTCATCCCACAAATATTTATTGAATGCCAATTTGGGTTGTAGGGAACAGGGAGGAACTGTGCTACATGCTGTGGCAAGTAGATCTCAGCATCCACAAAACGGAGAATTGGAAAAGACCTTAAGAATCATCTTGACCAAACACCTGCCCCATTCAGGAATGTTCCCTGAAACTAGAGAGCTAGGATAGGGCTCAGGTTTCCAAGGCAGTGATTGACCAGGAATGATGTAGTCCAAGCTGTGAGATGAAACTCCTCTAACTTGCCGGAGAATGAGTTTAAAACAAGGGCAAGCATCTGTAGGAAGCTCTCTTTTTTTCCAGCTCACTAGACAGTCCGGTCACTTGATCAGCTGGTGAGATCTGGACACAGTAAAACAAGTGTCAAGCAAACATGATTAGATAAGCCCTGAGTACTCACACAGTCCCTGCATTGTGATAACCTCCCACAGGAATGTCACGGACAGGCTGTGTGTGGTGGGAGATACCACTGACTTGGAATTTGAGAGCCAGGCAGGAGTGTATTTGATTTCAATCTGGGAAAATTCCAGAGCACTGAATTTAGAGGATTTATGAACACCATCATATCCATACAATTGGATTTCATCAACAAACACAGACGTTTTCTAGCTCATATTGGGACATTTCAACTATATTAAAAGGCAAAGAGAAAGAGATGGAAACAGTGGTTAGGATGCAATTCACAGATACAGTTTCCATATATACGTTTATTTTACTCTGGTTACACTCAAGCCTCAGGAGTCCACAAATAAACTGGACTCACAGACAGCGTCATTTCTTCAAGTCACGTTCTCTCTGTATCCTGTACGCCCTCCAAAGCCACACAAAGGAGCAGGACTGTCCTCATCTGCATCCCTCAGGCAGAGAGCAGAATTTTCCCAGATCCGGGTGAAGATTTGCAGGAAAAGCTTCCCAATCTTTGTGAACATCATCACAGTCCAAGACGATGGCTGAAAAATTAGACTAAATACTATTACACTAAACTTTCCATTAGTTGGATGTCATTCGATTTTCATTCCATCTATATTCTTGGTGATCTTCTGCATTTAATATTTTACTGCCATTTTTATGTACATAGAAGTACTTCACAGAAGTAATTAATATAAGTATTTGTAAGGTCTTTCCATGTAGGACAATTAGTTTCAGAACATTCTGTTGGGTGCTGCAAGGCCCTTAGTTGTGTCTAGATTCCTGTGCTTATATAGCAGGATGCAGGATCTTAAAAGGAAGCAGAAGGCCAGCCCCAGTGGCCTAGTGGTTAAAGATCAACATGCTCCACTTTGGCAGCTTGGCTTCGTTCCTGGGCTGGAACTACACCACTCTGTCTGTCAGTGGCCATGCTGGCAAGTCTTCCCCAGCAAAAAAAAAAAAAAAGGGAAGCAGACAGGCAGACAGCTGAAGACTAATGATTCCCCTGCAACTTGGGTAAGTGAAGAGGATTCAATTGGTGCTTGAGCATCCTCGCTCCCTATCTGCCCCTGACTGCTTTCTATTCCTCACTCTGGGCCCTAATGGGAAGCTCTTCCCAGCTCTGCCCTCTCCTCTTCTTGCCCGTGACTCAGCAACCTGGAGCTGCCCTTCCATGTTCTCCACCTGGCTTCCTGCTGCAACCCCAGCAAACATCTGCATATTCAACCCACCCAGTTAGCCTGGACCTGTCTCAGAGTAATTCCCCCACAGTGGCGAGGCAAGGAGAACCTAAAATCCTGCAACATAGTTTAGGAGGATTTGTACCACCACAGACATTTGAAAAGAAGTAAGGCATCAGTTAAGCTTAAAATCAAATTAAACACGATCCTGCCACACAGCAGCCAGCCAATTGAGATTACAGTCACAAAACCAATTCGGGATTCAGTGCGGTTACTAAAGGAGGTTGTGGAAAAGAGAAGCGATACAAACAACTATCTGAAAGGGATTGTTGAGGGAATTTTTGAAAAACTTTTCCAGTTTTATTGAGATATAATTGACATACAACGTTTTATTAGTTCTAGATGTACAACATACTGGTTTGATGTATGTATATATTATAAAATGATCACCACAATAAGTTGGGTTAACATCCATCACCTCGCATCAATACAATCTTTTTCTTGTGATGAGAACTTTTAGGATCTACTCTCTTAGTACCTTTCAAATACACAACACAGTATTATAAGCTAGAGTCACCATGCTGGACGTTACATCCCAGGACTTGTTTATCTGATAACTGGAAGTTCGTACCTTTTGACCACCTTTGCCCACTTCCCCCACCCACAGCCCCTCATCTCTTTGAAGGAAATTTTCATGGGGGTAGTTTACACAAGGCCACCTTCCAATGGTGGGATTTACTGATTGCAATAGTCTCCAAGATCAGGACTGACAGGAACAGTCTCAGTTGTTCTCTAGACCTGACAGCTTTCAGTCACATGGGGGTGGATGGGGACCAAGTTCCTATGCCATGAGTGAATCAAACTGAAGAGGAACAGGGCCAATTCTGAGAAGGGCTGTGCATGTGTCCTGCTCTCTAGGAGCAACTATTCCTGTCTGGAGGTAAGACGAATACTCAAGAAGCACACAAGGTACAGGGAGGTTGGGGGTGCCCTTTTTACCTGCATAGACACTTCTCCTGATTCCATTACTCGTGCTGCACTGTTGCAGTGCATAGGCCTCTCTGGGCCTGGAAAACCAAGCCTGGTGACCCCGGTACCACCAGTGCACATCCTGGAAGTTCATGGTACACTCAGAGATGAGCGAAGCCTTACAGTGCAATGACTGCAGATTCTAGTTGTTGTTTTCTGTCTGCATAGAACTTGTTGGGGGGGTTCCCCCTAGGTTTGCACTTTCGTGAGCAGGAACCTCTTCTAAGGTCACCCCCTCAGCCGCCATTCATCCTCTTGGGAGGAAGAGAGGAAGTCAGTTGTCTGGTTGATATCCTGGGAGAAGGATCTGGGCCTGCAGGGCTCAGCTCTTCCTGGTTCTTGTTCCAGATCTGCCTACAGGCACAGAGGATCCATCCTGGTGCCCCTGTGCCTGCAGAGGGGCCCGGCCCTGTGGGAAGGCCTGCTGAGCTCTGGTCCATGCAGACATTTCAGAGCAAAGCGTTGGCATAACCCTTGGGCTGCAGATCTGCAGCCACACTGGCTAGCCAGCTTGTTTGTAGTAAAGCTGACACTTGGATCTCCAACTGTTGACTGTCTGTATCTTTCTCTCTATGGATTTTGAATTCAGGTGGAGAACATGGGTGTTATGTATAAGCCCCCACAATTCCCAAATTGCGACAGCCAGAGGAAACTCTTTATCCTAACTGTCCCCCAATTCAACACACGTGTGTGAACACACACACTCACACACACACACACACACACACACACACACACACACTTCCCCCTCCTGTCGTAAAGTTCCCCACCTCCACTCTCTTCCTCTCAAGGTCCCAGGTACCTGACACATCAGGCTGGATTATCTGGCCTGAAGGGGCTCCTGGTTTCCTTCCTCTGAGGGAAACGTGTCCTTGGTGAGATGCCATGATCACGCCCTTGCTCGGATAGTGTGGCTGTGCCTCTTCCATCACATGGACAGATAGATGTCACTGAGACCATCTTCTGTGGGAGACCCAAGAGCTCTCAGAAGCCACCTCCTCTTTGTCAGTCCTGTCCTCAGTTCCATTCAAGATTCTGGGCCATCTCCCTCAACCACGACGCCAGGAGCCCTGCTCTGCCCAGCAGGACTGGCCGGTCATTTACAAAACAGAAGTATTTTCTGGCATAAAACTAACCACCAAGGAAACAAAGCTGCCTTTGACAAGAGGTCAATGTCAGGTCAGATAAGCACAGCCTGGAATTTTCAAGTATCTGCTGTAGCTGGTGCCCCAATCTCATCTCTTTCGTGTGCGAGGCTGGGTACGCTGATGATTTTCTGACAGCTTCCAGAACCCGAGGCTCTGTTAAAGATAGGAGGTGAATGCCGAATGTTTTCCCCGAAGAGGGTGGTGAAGGGAAGTTTACTCCCTGTTAATATGTGGCTCCTGATGCCAGTGACTACACTCCTTCAGCTGCCAGAGCCCAAGGGGGCCCAGAAAAGGGCTCCGACTTAGTTCTCCATGCTCCCCAGCCCTGAGAATTGCTGAGGGCCTTCAGGATATATTTATTGAAGTTCAAATGGAAACTCATTTAACGGGCCCCACAGGGTTACCAGGTGCACTTGTGCATGGATCTAAGTCATCACCCTTGGAGTTGTGCCCAACCAGAGAGGCATATGCAACAGCCCTGGGGTCATGCAGGGGAGCTAAGTGGCAGACCAGCATGTCCCCATAGAGTGGCCTTATGGGGAGGTTTTGCCACAGGCTGGGCTCCATCACCAGTTTCAGAGGTTTGGCCACCTCATTTGTGAGGAGGATAGAGGCCTCTCTTGGGGAAGGACCCACCGTAGCCATGCTCACAGAGGCTGCAGTAATTACAAATGAGAACTAAACCAGCCACTCAGGAGGACAACCAGGGTTGGGACACGTTCTCTCTGGACATTGCTGAGACAGGCATAGTGGACACTCACCCCGCGATGTTCCCAGCTCTGTGATCGACTATCCCTTTATCTGATGGGCATATTCTTTCCTTAGAGATGGATAAGCAACATTTCTAAGTCCCCGTTATTCCTGACTCCTGCAGGGCTGGAGGCAGTCTCTTAGATGATTCGCACCTCTTGCTTTGATCCTCTGTGTGGAAGTTTTACAGTTTAACTCACAGGGTAGCAACCTGAATCCAAATGATTTGGGTGGCTCTGAGGGACTCAGTTCATCCCAGCCTCCAAGTATACTGAGGCTTGCCATCATCCCTACCGGCTCCACTGCTCACCAACCCGTGAACACATCATGTTCTTCTACCGTTGCGTGCATTTACCGATGTTATACCCCGCATCCGGCCACTGCATCCCCTGCAAGTCCCACTTCCTTCAAGAAGCCTTTCCTGACCATCCTCCCCCTTACTGATCTCTGGTCCTCTGAAACTCTACAGTACTTAGAGATAATGGAACATAATTTAGCCCTTAATTGGATATTGGCTAGTATTGATCTCTGTCACTTCCTGTGTGTTCTACTTCACCAACTAGACTCTAAGCCATTTCAGACTACAAAATGTATTTCACATTTCTTCAGCCTCCTCCATCATGTCTAGCACATTGAGAACATTTGGAGGTATCGGATAAAAAGATGCACATTAAATAATTTTTGCTTCTCCAAATTCCACCATATTTTCTATGCGTCTCAAATCCCCTCCTCCACGAGAGTTTCCCCAACCGTTTGGGTTCACACCGATTTCTTCTGCCCTTCCTGACCACCCTGTATTGTCTGAGCCATGCGTTTTGTCACTCAGTTCTGTTCTGTCACTCAGTTCTGTTCTGTCTAAATGTATCCTCTGCTTTAAGGTTTGAGAGTCCTGTCTGCACAATTGTATTCAGGGTTCGGGCGATGTCAGCTCCAGACTGAGGTGGCACATCAAGGCCTGTATTAGGATCTGACCCACACAAGTCTCAGCCAATGTCCGTTGCTGCTCTGAAGGTTGCCCTCCCCAGCCTCTCTACTCTCACCTATCGAGGAGCAGCCTTCAGCATCAGATAAACCTGGACCTGATTCCCAGAGCTGTCACTTACGAGGTGTCCCTCCAGGCAACACCACGCCTGAGTTCTGTAGGCCTCCATTTCCTCATCTATAATATGGAGAGGCAGAGTAAACCCGTCACACAGAGCTATCGCGACCCTTCAGCGCCATCATCCAACACAAGGCACATAGAACAGAAGAGCAGGGTCTTTTGGAATCAGACCACGTGACCTTGACCAAGAGACTTTATTCCCTAACCTGCAGTTTCCTTGTCTGTATAACAGAGATTGTCGTGGGAACCTCATGGGCTTCTTGTGGGGATGATACCAGATGATATTAGATGCTTATATGTTATTATTATAATTAGTAGTCATAGTTTTTAAAAACTGTTATCACAGTAAGTGGCACATGGAAAGTGCTTAATAACTGTTATCTTCCTCATTTGAGGGGCTTATGATCGCCTTGTTTCTTTCCCAGTTATCACTGTAGGTCCACTGGCCCCTTTTTCCACATATGCCACCCACCCAGCTCAAATCAGGGCTTGCACTCTCATCGACTCTTTTCCCTGTCCACCAAGGCAGTCCTGGGAAAGCAGAGGCTCAGCATCTCCAGCTGCACAGCTTTCTCTCGGCCGCCACCACAAGTTACCCTGTATCTCTAACTCCTTAATCCTACAGAAGAGCTGCGATAAATTCTTACTCGAGGCTGGCATGTAACAATTTGTAGTGTAATAAAATCTGCAAGATTCTTCCCTTAGCAGAAATTTTGACAACAGCTCTTTTCCCAAAGGACAGCGCAGAGGATGCCTATGCTAAGGAAAAATGAGCTCTCCCGGAGAAAATCGCTCTCCACCGCACAGCGTGTCGGAAGATCAGCATTTTCAGGAGCTTGGCTTGGCGTTTCGAATCCTGTGGCCGCCGACTGTTTCGTGTATAGGCCGTCAGCCCATCCTGATTGTGCAGGATGATCCAGGTAATTCCTGGAGAATAGCAACCTTCCACCTTTGGTCCTGCACTAATGCTAGAAGGCTCTCTGACCTCTCAGTCCTTCATCACCTACAGCCGCCACTGGAAGCTACAAAGTCAGGCTCTGCACTCGGAGCCCTGGCCAAGCTGAGACCTTTAGTGCGTTTAACTTCTGAAATTCTTCCTTCGGTTTCTGTCCCTTGTGGTGTATTACTTAGTTACTATCCATACCGCTTGGGTAGTGATTTTTTTTTCCTTTTTTCTCCCCAAAGCCCCCTGGTACACAGTTGTATATTCTTAGTTGTGGGTCCTTCCGGTTGTGGGATGTGAGACACCGCCTCAGCGTGACTCAATGAGCGGTGTCATGTCCGCGCCCAGGATTCGAACCGACGAAACCCTGGGCCGCCTGCAGCAGAGCGCACAAACCTAACCACCCGGCCACGGGGCTGGCACCCTTGGGTAGTGATTTTCACGCAACTAAGCGGGTTCCACAATTCACTCCTGCTTTTCTGTAACGATGAAGAGACCCACTGTATTCCCGCTTAACCACGTTGGCTTAAATTTGCGGACTGCCTCCAGGTGAAGGGAGAGGGTATAAATAGGCAGCGTTGCTATTGTTCATTTTTACTGTGGCTCATTCTGCCCATTTAATGTTTGGATTTCAGAAAATCAGGAGCTTTTAATTGTGTCAAGGGCAGGGCCAGGAAACTGCAAAGGAGCCATGATGATTTAGGGGGAAGAAGCAAGTCCAGATGAACCGAGAGATGGTTCTGGAAACTTCACCATAACTAAGCATAATGTGCTACAAACCCAGAAGGAAGGACTAATGAAGAAAAGCAGCACAAACAATTGAAGCCACGACTAGCTGCTAAAGGAAAGGAGGGATAAAGAGAATGTTAAAATCACTGATAACTCCTAAATGCATTTACACTTGCCTATGAAATGCAGCCATGCCCAGAAGCACATACTAGGTCCTCAGAGTCACAGATGACATTTGTTGCTTCAAGAGGCTCCCTGCTGACCAGTAATATATCACCAACCCAGAACTGGTCTTGGAAGAGGGGTGGATGAGAATGATTCAGGAGGTCTGAAGTAGGAGCCCCATTCTGCATTTTAACAGACACCCCGGGAGGCTCTGATGCCCGTGGTTTACAGACCACTCTTTGAGAAACTCTGGAGTAGATGACTACAGGATTTTTCAGCTGTGTGTATTATACACACAATCTCTAAACATTCGGGTCTTTGTATATCTTACGCATTCATCGCCTGTGTGTACATACGCAGGGAGAGACTATACACCATCTGTCTCTCTGCTCTATGTATGGATTCCACATGTGGCTCATTTATCATAAAACAATTGAATTTTATAAGTTTCAGTAAAATCAAATAAATATAGTGTATGGATTTGAGTATTTTCTTTCCTTACTGAGCCCAGAAAACGAATTTAATTTAGAAAGGATGACGGGAATCGCAAACACAGCCCCAGGTCTCTGAGAATGAAACAGACGTGTCTGTGTGCTCGGCTTCAGAGACCATTTCAAACCAACTTGGGGATCTTGTCGTGGCTATTCTGATGGCTTCTCTTTCTTTCCAGCCTCAAACCTGGGGTTTGACCTCCCAAGTCAGATGCCTTGTGGATGTGCAGGCCCTGGGAGGCTGTGACTGCCCTCCTCAAGTGGAAATGAATTTTTTCTCCTAGTTAATCACTCACCTTCAGGGATGGCAAAGAAGGTTCAGCTCAGGGGCTGATTCAGAGCGTTTTGCAGAAGTTGCCCAAAGGAGTGGGTAGAGAAGGATTTTGAGGCTCTATATGGGCTCCAGATGAAGGAGTGTGACCTAAGTCCCTATGGGGTAGAATTGGATCACTTTTCTGTCACCTATTTGGCAGTCCAGCCCTGGGTTTTCTCTTTAAAGATCTACTCTTTTTATACATATTTTTAGAACTAGAAGAGAACTTAGAGATTTAGTAGATAATGGTTAGAACGTCGCTCTCCTGACTCCAAATTCCATGTTCTTCCCAATAACTCGGTTCACAAGCATTACCCAGACTACTGGGGATAGAGACTGTAGAAGGCTGCAAAATGTCACCCCCCCTGAGATCCATCCTTCCAGGTGGCCTCATATTTGTAGCAGAGGCCTTTTCTGTCTAATCCAGACAAGCTTCACTAAGGGTAGTGATTTGGGGCGGAATATGAGAAAATAGTAATCCCAAACCATGCTACTGGGGGTTCCTGGGGGAGGACAGGCCTTACCTACCCCAGCATCCTTATTTCTGAGTGGCATTTTCAAGTCTTTGGTAACTTATCAGAGATGCTCTGCGCTGGTTGGATTCTTCCACCTCCTAACTCAAGGTGTAGATTTGTCAATTTGCTGGTTCTAAGGCTATGTATGCTCATGAATCAACCTACAACAAACAGCCTGTGATGTAGATGCCTCTGCCTCTTCCTCCAGTTGGGAGGAACCCAATGAAGACAGTTTCCCAAGAGCTCTTGCTGTTCACTATTATGATTCATTGACTTAATTGGGGAGTGGGGTAGAAAGAGTGAATAAAATGGAAATAAACATTATGCACACCCAGCATTTAACTTCTTTGATTTCAGACAGGCTGACTGAGTAGTCAGAATCCAGGGGATATGAGTGGAAGGTAGCATGAAAGACTGAAGGAAGGGAAGCTAGTTATAAATGGATGAAGCTGAGAGAAGCAATGAGCTATTGGGTAGTAATACTGTCCTCGTAGCATTTCCATTGCATTATTTTACTGTAAAGAAGAATCAATAAAAAGATGATGCTCAAGGTTTTCAATTTAGTGAATCTCATCTAGGACCAAATACATCTGACAATAGCCTGACTTTTTAAAATGCAAACACTGTGCTCAGATTTATTAATTTTTATGTTATGAATATTTAAATAAGCCTATCCCAATGGAATCATTTTACATCGAGCTCATGCACTTACATTTTTAATGAAATGAGTAGTCAACCATTAAAAATAAAATATTGATGTGAATTGTTAGACTAATTGATTGAGGAAGAAAGTTATTATGCAAGCAATCAGAGATTTAAGAAAAATGAAGAGAACTCAAACCACCCAATTATTGTCGGCCCTTGGCATTAAGACTCTGTCGAATATCTCTCTCTCTTTTTTTTTTTTTATGAACAATCGCTTTTTAAAATGTCTAAAGAAAATTATCTTTGTAAATCAAGCCTCAGGTAGAAAAAGTGAGTCAAAAGGTAATATGATATTCAGAAGCAGAACTTAACTGCTTAGTTCCTGCTACAAAATATGGAGATGGGGAATGGGGGTAATTTTCTTTGTAATGCAGGCTCCAAAGCGGCTTTTTCCTAGATTCTGTATAAAGAACAGCAACACAAACTGAAGATACATCTCCTCTGCATTTCAAGACACCTGTGCTCTTATCAAGATGTGAGTAAATATAATTTTTCAAGTCACTTTAAAGATTACTAGATTAAAGACCTTTCGAAGGTCTTTTAAGTGGAAGAATTATTGTTTAAAGCAAACCCTGGCATTCCTTCTTGCAAGTATGATTTTCTGTGTTTGGGTGTCTTAAAGTGAGGCACACTTTTCTTTGAATTGAAGGTTTAGGCATAACTAATGAAGACTGCTTAGCTCTCAAATTCTTTTTAGCAGCTGCATCTATAAAGGAAGAGCACAAATTTCACTGCCACCCCACATGGTTGGCTGGCCAATGAATTCCTAACTTCTGCTCAGTTAGGAGTGAGCTGATAAACAGAAATGGCAAAAAGAGCTATAACCTATTCAAGAGAAGACTGAGCTCAGATTTCGTGCCAAATACCTCTCACATAGGTGTTTGATGAGCAAGGCATGTATTGAGTCAACAACAGGAGGCCCTGTTATGTCGCATGGTAGGTGCTAGAGGCTCCAAGAACAAGAAAAGACGGGAGAAAGTGAGTTGCTGGTGTGTTGTAGACAGGAATAGAGAGACTAGAGGAATAAGAGAATGGAGAATATTGGAGAGAAAATGGTTAAAGTGAAGCACTAGGGAGGGGAAGGAGAGGGGGTCGGGGGATGTGGGAGGAGCCAGATATATGGGGAGCAAAAACAGTGGACCAAGTGAGCAAGGAAATATCCAGAGTCTGGCAACTGGTGTCATTTAGTGCAGTGCTTCTCAAGCATACGAGTCCCCTGGGGAGCTTGTTAAAATGCAGAGTCTGAGTCAGTAGATCTGGGCAGGGCTGCAATTCTGCATCTCTACCAAGCTCCCAGAAGATGCCAATGCAGCTAGTCCACACCACACTTTGAGTAGCAAGATTAGAGGATCGCGCTTTCATCTGTTGGAATGTGAAGAATGTCCATACCGATGAATGAATTATTTATTAAGAGCCCATTGTGTACCTAGCAATCTGCTAAGTACACTGAAGAGTTTAAAAGAAGATGAGAACCCCTGGTGCAGGAACTTAGAGTCTTACAGAGGAGATAAGACATGCAAACACAAACCCACTAGAGGAAAAGAGAAGAGACTGTGTATCTGAGAGTGTACGTGGGGCCGGAAGTCTTCAAGAAGAGAGAGGGATCTGTCTAAGCATGATGGAGCTCAGACAGGCAGAAAGGAGAGGGCGGGACCTTACAGTGAGATGGACACAAAGGGGAAGTGTGTGGAATGCAGGCGCAAAGAACTACAGAGACCTCTGTGGGGCAACCCCATACAGTGACCTTCTCTGGGGTTGAAAAGGCTGAATGTTATGCTGGATCTGAGTTCAGCTGAAAAGGCTGGTGTGTCTCCTGAGCCCCTAGCACCTTACTGGATTCAGTAATGATCATTCAGTAAGTGAGTGACTCATTGTCAGAGCTTTCAACGAACCACAGAGCAGCCACCATGCATATACTAATACCCCCTGCCACAGGTATTCAGGTTCCAAAGATGAAAAAAAAAAAAGGATTCCCACTGTAACAATGGAGAAAAACATAAATCATGACTGTGGCATGATGACCTATTTAAGATATTCATTTCTTATTTGCTTTTGCTGCTGAACGGAACAAAAAATATTAGAGAGAACATTTTCCTTCTTGCTCCCTCCTTAGAAAAACAACCACGCATTTGTGTTAAGGTTCAGACTCTCTGGGTTTCCGAGGCCTGGCAGAAGCAAACCTTGCCCATCTTTGGGAAGATTGGATCCGCTCTAGGTTATGCAGGAATTGCCAAAGGAGGAGAATGTCCCGCACCCACATGTCCCAGAGCTAAATCACATCGGCCTCATTAAGTAACATGGGGATAAACACAGGTGTCTTGGTAACTCAGTCAGGGCCAGGAGCAGTGAGTATGTCTAGGGAAGAGGAGATGGCTTCACCCAGGAAGGACTGACATTTGGGCTGAGCCTTGAAGAATGGGGGGTAAGCTACCAGGTGACACAGAGTTCAGGTCTTCTAGAAGGAGGCAGCAGCTCTAGCAGAGGCATGGTGAAAGCCCTGTGTTAAGAGAATGATGTGCTATGGATTTTAGTTGAAACCTTGGGCCCGTGAGGGGTTGTAATGGGAAGTGAGCATGGAAAAGTTGACCGAGGCCAAGCTAAGGGAGATCTTGGACGCCAGGTAGAAGAGTGTAGGCCTCATCTGTGTTGGTCAGTGGCGTCTATTCATGACTCTCCCATCTTACTTGGATAAAATATGATTGTACACACATAATACTGGCAGTCGGTGTTGGGTCATGGTTAGGAAAGCAATGATATCGTCACCCAAACTTCCATTAGAAATCTTTGTCTTCATTCAGCTTTTTCCTGAATTATGTGATGATGAAGGAGTATGAAACTGGGACGAGTAAACCACAGATGATTTCTGGCTTCCTTACTAACTTGCTGTCTAATTTTTCTCAAGAGGCAACTTCTCCAAACCTCAGTTTCCCCTGCTGCCCTGGGAGTAAAGCTCATTCTGGCACACCAAACTTAGCAGTTCTCATGATGAAGGTTCTTGAGAACTTCCTGTGTGCTAGTCACGCGCCTTGTCTACCTAAGCCCCAACCACCCCGTGAAATAGGCTCTGTTATCAGCCCTTTCACAGTTGAAGAAACCAGTGGATCTAAGTAATTGACCTAAGGACACGCATGACTAATAATTAGCAAAGCTTCTATTCAAACCCAATTCCGTCTGATTCCAAACTCAACCTATACTCCATTTGGCAACACCCCACTCCCCCAAGACGGCATTTCCAACAATCACCATTTCAAAGAAAACTTCAAACTCAAAATTGTTTCAAAGTACCCTTAAGATGTTACCTTATAATCCACACGCTGCTGGGAAGGAATACAGAATCATCTAAAGCTGGACTGCAAAGAGCGTATAAACCACTGGGTTCCTGCTTCTCTCCTTACACAGGAGAAGACTGGCGTGCAGCCAGGCTGTGGCACTCACTCAAAGTCACACAGCTTGTCCTAGTAATTTCCTATTATATTTTAATGTTTCAAGCACAGTGCATTGAATAGGGCCTCTGATAAATACAGCTTAAGATTTTTTGCACTTACTAATTTTCTATCCTTATAGTTGAGAGCCATTCTCTTCACTTGGAGTTTTCTCATGATTAAGATGGGTATACTCTTTAAGAGAAAAAAATGGTGATATTAAGCATAAAATACGCTTGAAAAATTAAGACCAAAACAGTATCAAGAGTCTTAAAACTATTTATACTCTTTTATTTAGTAATTCACTTCTTGGAATGCCTTTTAAGGAAATAATCTGAAATTCACAGAGATATATGGACGTGAATGTTCATCTCAGCATCACTTATAAAAAATTTTTAAAAATAATAATAAAACTAGAAACAACCTAACTGATCAACCTCAGGACAATGCCCACAATATAGAACATTATGAAGCCATTAAAATTTGTTTATAAATGACTTCAATGACATGAGGAAATGCTAATTACATAATCTTAAGTGAGAAAAAATGATGAAATAACATAAATAGCATGATCTCAACAATGTAAAAAGCTACATAGAAAGTAGAGAATACACCAAGATTCTATGGGAATTTCTCTATGGAAGGGGCAGAAGTATAGGATTAGGAATAATTTTACCTCGGGTCAGCCCGGTGGCATAGCGGTTAAGTTTGCACACTCCACTTTGATGGCCCAGGGTTCACAGGCATGGACTTATACACTGCTCATGAAGCTATGCTGTGATGGCATCCCACATCCAAAAAAAGGAAATGGAGGAAGATTGGCACAGATGTTAGCTCAGGCATAATCTTCCTCTCTAAAAAAAAGAGAATAATGTTACCCTACCTTGTTCTCTAAACTTATCATAATTTTCTAAATTTTATATTAGAAAATGAGTTCCCTTTATAATCAAGAAATAAACTTTTTTTAAAAGGCATGGAATATCTTGAATAAGTAGCAAAGATGATCTCTCATGAAATACTTGTTTTATTTTTCATTTGGAGCTGTCATCCTACATTGACATAAAGCTGTATATTATGACGCAGAATAGACAAGATAGGGGCCAGCCTGGTGGTACAGCAGTTAAGTGCAGATGTTCCACTCCGGCGGCCCGGGGTTCGCTGGTTCAGATCCCGGGTGTGGACATGGCACTGCTTGTCAAGCCACGCTGTGGTAGGTGTCCCAGATATAAAGTACAGGAAGATGGGCACTGATGTGAGCTCAGGGCCAGTCTTCCTCAGCAAAAAGAGGAGGATTGGCAGCAGATGTTAACTCAGGGCTAATCTTCCTCAAAAAAAGAAAAAAAGAGAGAAGAGACAAGATAGTTTCAGGAACACCAGGAACTGGTTTTGAAGGCCCTTTTCAGAGTGTGGCTCAGAAAAAGAAACCTGTCTTCTGAGGTGAAAGATCTGGATTCATGGGACTGCAGAAGTAGTTTACAATGCGAAGGGACAAGACAGGAGAGAGGGACAGGCAACAGGAAAGTAGCTTGCCTTAAGATAAAGTGATTCTCATGGGAGAAATAAAAGACATTCAAAGAACCACCCATCGCTCTGAGAGGAAACTCAGAGATGAACCGATCAACTCCCTCATTTTTTTCCAGCTTTACTGAGATATAATTGACGTATAATATGGTGTAAGTTCAAGGTGACAGCGTGTTGATTTGATACATTGGTATATTACAAAATGATTACTGCCATAGCATTAGCTAACACCTCTATCCTGTCAAGTCCCTCACGCTATAGATGAGAAAACGGAATCCAAGGAGATTGAGTGACTCTGTGAAGATCACACAGTGGGTGACCAAGACCCCCAGACCCTAGTCCAGTTTGTTTCCACTGTCAATGCTGCCTCCCAAGCTTTAAAACAAATGCCTAGGCACTTTAAATAGGCATCTGGAGGTTGTTATTATAATGGAAACTCTGAGTTGCCACTGTTCCTCTCCATGATCCCAGCCACAAGCCTGAAATACCAGACACTGCCAGTGCCAGCTGAAATCACACTTCTGCCACTCTTGGCCAATTTCTTTCTGAAATGGTTAGATCCCTGATCCAGAGGTCAGTGGAGTGTCTGGCCAGGATCTGTGGAGGTAATCTGGATTTCTGGACTTCATGAAGGTGAATGGGAGAATGCCACACAGTGAGCATCCCATTTTCAGAAACTTGGTTCAGCGCCCGGCTACACTGGGAATGTTCCTAGCCCACTTTGCGGAAATTACTCAACTCTTTCCTGGCCTTAGGAATAGACCACGAAGAGATGGTTGCGCTCAAAAATAGAGCAGTAAGGAGAAGTTGGGATCTATGATGATAGCAAGGAGCCCCACTGAGCAGAACAAACCTCTAGACACAGTGCAGAAAATCCTATTAGGGTGGAACCGTTGGGTGTGGTAATCAGTGGGGAAAATTGGTTGAGATGGAATCTAGCTCCCTCCCTCCGATTGGTAGAAATGGAGACCCACCTTATTCCTCCCAGGAAAGTGGAAGTGCCTTAAGCTTTCTAAGCTGGCACACACCTAAGACTGGTGGGAGTGGTGATGTCAACATCGGACTCTTGCACTTTCTGCACTGAACCCTGTCCTGCCCTGTCTTGCCTGTGGATGCGCCTACCTAGGTCTGGTTCTGTTGGTGCCTGGGATCCCAAAACAGCAGTGGCAACGCCTATAAGCAATGTCATGTTGGTGAAGACAACAACACAGGTGTGTTGACAGTGACCAAAAGGAGCAGGGAGGCGTCTCTTTCAAGGCTTGAGGTACAGAGTAACCTAATGGTGATAATAGAGGTCACCAATGTGTTCAGCTACTAGGAGGAGAATTTGAGTGTTGCTTTCATGTTCTGTCTGAGGAATGGAAAGGAACAGAGCTAAAGGATTGCAACAATTATACTGGGGAATACTCACAATAACACCTAACAGGGATTTATAAGAATTCATTACAGTAACAAAAATTAATTCAGTATGTCTTACATGGCATTTATTATACAGGTTACACATATGTAGCCCATATGTGGAGGATTAAGCATCATATAAAAAAAGATAAGGTTTCTGCTCTCAGGGGCTTTCAGTCCAAGGAAAGATAGAGAACAATTATTTGTAAGTGTGATGGATAGTACAATGGGGAAGTACAGGGCACCCTAAGATCACATAACAATATATATGAACTTAGGGGAGCGATCAAGGTTAAATGAGATACCATGTATAAAGTGCTTAGCATGGTCCCTGGCATAGATTAAGCGCTGGATAAATTGTAGCTGTTGTTTTGTTATTACTAATGGCCTGAAAACATGTTTCAAGGAGACAACAGCATTTTTGGACTTGTGAATTGGAAAGGAAAGTCTGTGATCCACATGCCATTCATTCATTCATTTGTTCATTTAATATACTTTTTTTTTAGCTTGTATGTGTAAGATGCTGTACTCAGTGATAGAGATACAAAAATAGGTAAGAGTCTCTACCCTCAAGGGGCTCAAATTCGAATAGGGAAGAAGAACATAAACAAATAATTGCAAAATGTGTAATAAGAAATATATTACAAACACAAAGATCAGCGAGTCCAATTCTACCTCTCAGGGTCCAAGAAGCCTTCACTGCATAAAGGAAGGTAGTTGAGTCTAGAAGGATAAGTAGTTGTTCTCCTGGGGCCCTTGCTTTCTTACCAGTTCTCTCCTGGGTGTGGAGAGCTTGGCAAGGTGACTTTTCTATTCTTGTGTTCCTATTTCCACGTTTGACATCTCAGTCCAATCAGCTGATGCACTGAGGAAAAAAAAAGTTGGAAAGCGTTCACTGCCAGGCTATAGCTACAGAATTTTTGGCCAGAAGAACAAATTCAGAACATGCACATTTCTTATAGAGGAATTCACTTCCACAATAACCATAAAATGGTCCATCTCCACAAGAACTATAACTCAAAAAAATGTGTGATTCGATCAAAGTTTCAGCAAATACTCCAATTATCTGGGTATTCGTGAAGCTGAGAGATTTCTGTCTCCTGATCCCTGTGACAGTTGACAAATGTTCGTAAGAGAATGCTCCCTGGCCTCACAGAGCACATTTTCCAAGCTGTCATCGTTAGGCAGAATTCTGCACTCTGACGGCCTGGGCACAGAGCCTCAGCATCCTGGTGGCAGAGTTCGTCTAAAGTGTCTCACAAGGGAGTAAAGGAGAAAAGAATCAACACTTAAGGAAAATTCCATTGTTCTCCTCAGACAGGAAACATGACGGTTTTGTTCCTTTAAGCCTGTCTGTGCCTGAGCGACTGAGGCTGTCCCCGCTCTGCAGCCTCTTCTCTGCCAGGAGCTTGGGCCAAGTCAGAGGCAAAGTGCAGACTCGGCGAGTTGACTGAAGGCCCAGAGAAGCACAGAGCCATCTGACACCTTCGCATGGGTGCCTGCATGGACCGCTCATGTGAAGAACCAAGTAATTGGGTCTGTTAGGCCCACGCCTGTGGAGCGTTCTCTCATCTCTGACCCAGTCACCCCACACAGCAGAAGGAAAAGCTAGTTCCTGCTACTTCTAGCTGGTGCAGCAATCAATTGGAGAAGAGTCCAACTTGTCTCTTTTCCAATTCACATCCAAAGCAAACAAGCAGACAAACACAACTCTAGCAAGATAGGAGAAAGAGAAAGAGCTTATTCCTAAAGGGAAGCAGAATGGTCAGAACAGCTATTCCATGAGTATTTCTCTCTCAGCTTTCTGAATCTTGACCAGCTCTCCCTTCCACCCCAGGATCTGTGCTTCAGAGAGAAAGCCCATACACCAGGCAAAGGAAACTAGATGGGCAATGTTTCTTTTCAAATCATAAGAACACTTGTGAGCCTGATCAATCTGTGAAATGTCAATTTCATAAACCAAACTATCTGATATTTCATATGCTCACACTCTGACCCAGAGAAAGAAGAGTCCAGAAGAATCTGCTCTAGAAAGCCCATCTCTGCAGATGGACTCGGCATGCTTAGGGGACGCAACGTGTCCACCATAAGATGCTCCAAAAGTCAGAAGCAGTCAAAGTAGAGAAGGACGGATAATCCTGGGGAAAAAAATCTCTTACCTTAAATGCTTCCTCTTTCAAGAAAGTTCTGCATTGTGGCTACAACACGGAACATGAGGAGCACCCCATTTAACTATTTATTCCCATCTTTGGCTTATTGGCTCCCCGAGAAGTGAAGACTCAGAGAGAAAATTATAGGCAAAGCCCCTCTGAAAATTTCACGCAGAGCCAGAAAAGCTGGTAGATTCAGGAAGGATTTTTATCAAGATATTAACAGTGGTTATCTCCAAGTTGCAGGATTATATGGATTTTTCCTTTCCTTTTTATATTTTTCTTGATGGTTTGAAATTTTTCTTTATAACAAAGTTGAACTATGTTACAATCAGAAATAAAATAAAATACACATATGACCATGGTTTACTCCTCCTTCCGGAGACCTCAGTAAAATAACAACGTGGGAATAAACTCGTAACAGTCAAGGTAATTGGAGAAGACAATGGAGGAGAGATCCCAATACATTTTCAGAAAAAGTAAAGAAAATAAACGCCTGTTGATGGATAATCAGATCAAGGAAGCCATATTCCAGAATGGTGGTAAGGGTAGAGGGGTGAGGTTGTAGAGATTTTCTGCAGATGAATTGACCAGTTGGTGGCGCCCCACACTCTCCTCACCCATCCTGGAGTTTGGAGCCTTGGCAGCTAAACCTCCAGGCAAAAATCAGAGCTTCCTTCTCTGCAGATGTTGAACGTTCTTTCTGAGAATCAGGGCGTCTAGACTTCGGTGTAGCCAACTCCTCCCCCCCCCCCCCCCCCCCACACACACACTTTTGACTTCAAGAGTTTTCTAGCCAGACTCCTCTTTCTGCTCACACCAAAGTGAAGCCTGCCCACTAACAAGCCCCATCAAACAGTGGCATGGTACTGGGGCATGGGGGAGTGTCATGAATGGAATCCATTTACCCTGAGGGCACAGCACATGCTTCATGACATTGAGCCCATAGTATAATTCTAGCTCAGTGCTATCTCAATATTTATGGAAAATATTGATTAATGTATGTACCAATAATTTCAGTTTATATTAACATAAAGTTTATTGGGTTCCAGCTTTGAAAATCAGCCTAATAGAACACAGAAGACTGAAATATGGTTAGAGAAAAAAATGTAATATGATCAACTCTGACAATGTAAAAACAAATTCCACATGTTAGAAAATGAGAAGGATATGGGGAGAAGAAGGGTGGAGCACTCATATCTTAATCTAATTTATTTGGAAATCAAGAGGCACTTTCTATGTAAATCGATACAGCCATTGTGGAAAATAGTATGGAGGTTCCTCAAAAATTAAAAATAGAACTACCATGTGATCCAGCACTCCCGCTACTGGGTATGTATCTAAAGGAAACAAAATCACTATCTTGAAGAGATACCTGAACTCTGTGCTCATTGCAGCATTATTCATAATAATCAAGACATGGAAGCAACCTAAGAGTTCACCGACAGGTGAATGGATAGAGAAGATGTGGTGCATGTATATAATGGAATAATCTTCAGCCATTAAAAAAAGAAAATTCTGCCATTTGCAGCATCATGAATGAAACTCGAGGATATTAAATGAAATAAGTGAGACAGAGAAAGACAAATACCACATGGTATCACTTATATGTGGAATCTAAAAAAAAAGCTAAGTTCATAGAAGCAGAGATTAGAATGGTGAGCGCTGGTTGCCAGGGGTTGGTGGGTTGAGAAAATGTCTAGATGTTGGCCCAACGGTAATAAACTTTCAATTTTAAGATAAACAAATTCTGAGGATCTAATGTATAGCATGGTGATGATAGTTAACAATGCTGTATTGTGTACTTGAAAGTTGCTAAGAGAGTAGAACTCAAATGTTCTCATTACACAAAAAAACTAACTATAAGAGGTGATGGATGTGTTAACTAACCTTACTGTGGTCAATATTTCATAATATATATATAAACCAAATCATTATGTTGTACACATTAACTTTACACAACGCTATTTGTCTATTATATCTCAATGAAGCTGGAAAAAAAAAGAAGCAGTTTCTAAGGGTGATGGAATATGAAAATATATGTTTACATTCTCCAAAAGGACAAAGGAAATAAATAGTAGAACAAAAATAATTGTCAAAAATTGGGAAGAGGAGAAGAGGGGAGGAAAAAGTGAGTTAAATCCTTTGAGTGACTAGACAATGTCTTGGATTAGTAAGTCAAGAAATAGTATATAAATTATTTAGAGTCAGGTTTGTAACCACGAGAATGAGGAGCAGAAAGCATTTACCTCCAACAACTAGGGCTGAGCACGGGGAAGGGTGGGTGGGCAACTGTAGTTTTTCATTATAATTCCTTCTGTTGGTTTCTTTTGTTTTCTGTCTTTTTTTTCAATGTTCATGATAAACCTGAGGAAGGGGAGGAAGGAGGAAAGGGAGGGAGGGAGAGAGAGAGGAAGGAAGGAGGGAAGAAGGAAAAGAAGCAAATGCCAAATGCCATCAAGAGATTACCTCTTACTATAGCTAACCACTGATGTTCTGTCAATGCCAGGCAGCACGGGGTGTTAGATGGTATAAAATCAGTATGATTGGTTGGTTTTTCCATCTCCTTCTGAAAAGGACTTGACTCTCTGACAGTCACCACTTTTGAGTTGAGGCACAAGGTATGGCAGCACCTACGTACAATGAGATCTTGTGCCTTGGACTGGCTCACTGCCTCTCCTGGTTGGTCATTGACTGTCAGCCTCTTCTTGACCCTGCCTCCTACAGACTCACCCAGCCTGGACTCGGGACTCTGCCTGGACCTTCAGCTTCTGGCCTTGTTTACCTCCACACCAGGCTCCTCATCCTGGCTTTGTCTCTCCTCATTCTGGCCAGTTGATCTAAGGTTGATCCATAACCTCCAGGCCCAACGAGCATAAGAGAAGAGAGAATTCTTGTTTAGCATGGATTTCCTAGAAGATGGGTGACCGAAGGACACTCCCTAGCAAGGAATCCTGTGCACTAGAACCAAGAATCACGCAATGAATAATGGATACAACATGGGCTTTGGGGCCAAACTGAGCTGCTCGAGTCCTGGATCTGCTGCTAATTGTGTCACCTTGGCCAGAATACTTAAGTTCTCTGAGCTTCTTTTCCTTATCTGTAAAGTGAGGATACTACCATCTCTTGCATACATGGTTTTATCAGGAGCATTAAATGAGACCTTGTATATCAAAGGCCAAGCATACTCCTGACTTTGCAGTAGGTGCACAACGTTAGATTCCCTCCCGCCTCCATTTCCCCCATCTTCCTTCTTCCCTTTCTCTAGTTTATATAAAGGTGGACACAAAGTGAAAAGCAATGAAATACTTTGCAGGTGGTCACATCGAAGGTTAGGCAATGCTCGAGCTGCTAATAATTCTACTGCTTTGCTGTGAGTATTACAGCTTGGGGTACAGGCTCATTTTCCTTGGGAAAAGTCTCTCTTGCAGGTAGCTTGCCTCTAAGATAGAGGAGTCACTGGGACCACAAGGATCCATTAGGACTTAGGGCCATAAAAATTTTAAATATTAGAATTGGTAGGACCTTAGAGTTTATCCGGTGACCAGCCATCATTTACAGAGAATTTGAGACCCAGAGAAGTTAAGTTGCCTGGTTCAATGTCACACACCAGATCTACTAAAGTCCCGTGCACTGCTTTTCTGAAATGAAAGGTACCCAGAGAAGGTTGTGTTTTATGTCAAAAAAATATACATTATGCCATAAAATACAGTCTTGACTATGTTCTGTATGAAAAAAGATGCATGATGAAAAACTCTAAACTCAAAAGAAGGCAGGCATTTTAAAAGTGTGTGTGGTTTTTTTTTTATGTGAATACACTGAATGACACTGTAGTTAAATGCCACAATACATTAAAGGAAAATTTTGCCTGGGCATCGAAACCACTGATAAATGGTGAGTTTGTTAAAGACTGTCTACTGAATGCAACAGACATGATATATCCCAAACAGAAGCAACCGGAAGTCCTGTCGCTTAGTGTTTTAAAAATATGGCTAAGAATCTACAGCACAAATTATATAAGAAAGTTAAATAATTTCTAGTGTTTTAGCTGATGACTTAGTATGTTAGTACATATATATACTACATATACTATACAGCATATATATCTTTTTTCATGGAGTTGATTAGGATTCATGGCTAGAAGGTTGCTTGGATATGATACCATTATGGTGGACATAATTATCAGGAAATGACTTATTTTTGGGTGCCAGGCTAATCTTGATAGTTTGAAGGTAGAGTAGTCAATATTAATCTGCCTGCTTACATGTTGTGATCTGTGATCTGATTGGCGTTAATGTCAGACTTATTGTGAACTTAGTAAGGCAACATGAATAAAGACATAGAACTTATGCCTCTTCATTACTTTAATCACCACCAATAGCTTAGTAGTAAAAGGTTAGAACTAGAAAATGTCAGGGATGTAGTAAATAACACCAGCACTGGATATGCTTCTGTGGCTTCAACTGCTGATAGGCAATGATTTGTGTGACCCTACTGAGGCACGGATGTCATATTCTGCTGTATTTCATGGAGTTTGGCTGGATCAGTTTAAGCGGTTTTGGGTTGGGAACAGTTTTTTGTATTGTTGAAAGAAACCGACTTGTTCATATGATCCAAGGAAAAATCTCCATCCAACTCAGAAAAACTAGACCACTGAAACACTTGGAATCTTTCTTTTCAAGAGTGTCCGTGAGTTATGGATCTATACACTGTAGCTAAAAAATGTAAGATCAATTCACTCATTTCTAAAAAAACTACCACTGAGAACCTCATTTTGTTGGGAATAATCCGGTTTAACTACAGTGGAATGAGCTTTCCAGAAATAAAAGTAATAGCCTGAACTTCTTTCTCAAAACTGTAGATTTGAAGACCGAACTCCTACAAGTGTATTTCAGACTTAATCACAATGAAATAACACTGCTGTTTACTTTTCTCGATTAATCTTAATAGAAGAAAGGAAGCACTATAAATTAACATTATTGAATTTTAGGGCAAAATAGTACTGAAAACTAAACATGATACGATTGATGTATCAGAATTCTAACAGTGCACATATTCTTTTCATGCTCAGAACACAAAATGGAACACTAGACATTTTGGTACAGAAGACAAGGTGTCAGTTTTCCATTTTCACATTAAAGAAGAAAAGAATTACAAACATTTGTTTTGATTTATTATTAAACATCTCTAGGTCTCAATTTGTATTTTTATAAATATAAAATGTAATCAATATTACACACATATATATATAACCTGCTCGCATTAAAGTTAAACATTTGTAAAGCCGGTGTACTGATTTTTTCTTAAATCCAGTCCATGCCACTCATTTCTGCACCTGCCTGCTCTATAGGCACGCATCTGTCAGCCTCTGAACCTCAGGGTAGACTGCCTTCTGCAGAGCATGTGGCTGATGCTGGAGATGGAATACCGGAGTTCAGGAGCAGAGCACTACTTGGCCTGGGCAGAAACTCAGGGCATTGCCACTGCATGGGCAAGCATCTGTGGACTGTGCCATGTGAAGCTTTGTCTACAATATTGCATGGCATGGACGTGGAGAAACTGGAGTTGACCAGTAAAAGTTTTTGGTTCCGCCTGTGCCTGGATTTGAAACCAGGACTGAGCATCAGCACTTTTGGACTGAGCTAGCCCTGAGACACAGGAATACTTTTTGAATGAGAAATAGAGGCCCTCAAGAGGGTGATACTTGACTTCCTACTAATAGGACAAATTAGGGCCTAAGTGATTGATTGAAATAATAAAAGATTAATTTATATTTTTGTTTTTAGTAGATCTTGAGTACATAGAATTAGATTAATCATAACTCTTGATTTGTGGCACATTCTCATCATTGGCCCCTGCATGGTCTTCTTTTAGTGTCTGAGTGAATGCATTTATGCAATTATTCAGAGCTAAGAAAGCATTCATACTCTGAGCTCTGTATTGAAGAATACTGAACACGGCAATGAACCCTGCTCAGATGAGATCTAAGAGAAGAGAAGAAAAAGGAGTGAAGACGGGACAACCAACATTTAGTGAGCATCTACTCCTTACCATGCACTATGCTGGGCGCTTTGCAAACATTATTTATTTGATTCTCCCAAGGGCGTCCCTAGCAAGCCAAGGGCTCCCCATCCTTCCTGCCTGTGGTTCTTTCCCATTACTGCAATCTGGCGGGTCACAAATAGAACCCCTGTGAGTGACAAGTACATTTCAGTGCAATATTCTCAGGTGGTTGAGTGGTTGGGTGCTGGGTGCTTTTCCATTTTCACAGCTGAACTTTAAAATCTCATTAAAACAGCGTTTTGTTGCCATTTGCTGAGTTTAAATCAACAGTGATTCAGCAAATAGGCAGACACAGCAAGTTCTCTCTCCTGGCAAGTATAATAAGGGGCCTGCATGGTATATGACTGAGAGAGAAAAAAGCAGTTTCCGAGCTAAAGCATTGTGAGCCCCTTTGTAAGCATTGTCTCCTATAAACCTTAGCTGATCTTTATATGTGAATGACTTTGAAAGAAAAAGAAGGCTCTTTCTTCTCCCCCATCCTTGGCAGTGTTTGCACTGGCAGAAGTATTGGACGGGTGCATTGCCAAGAAGTTTGGAAATGTCTGTTAGTGTCTGATGCAACCTGATGTCCTGAATAACATTAATTTTAAAAAAAGAAGTTTCTGGACTAGAAAGAGTCTTTCTTAGACTTAGAGCTGATCTAAATCCCCTAGCTGGCTCTTACCTAGACTGTTAAAAGTTTTTCTTAGTAACTGGCTGGAAGACTCATGAGGAAATACTGCAGTGGCTCCATATTTGTTGCTTGTCTACTATGGGCTAGACAAGTGGCTGGTGCTGCTGAGTCAGACGGGGCCCAGCCCTCAAGTGGCTCTCAGGCTAAAGTCAGAAGAAGGGCAGGGCTCCGAAAATTGTAACTCAAGGTTGAAAGAAAGAAGGGCCATAAGAAGTGCTAGGCAGGGAGGGGTGAGTCCTGAGAAAGGAGCTAAAGATCCACGTGCTCTTTCAGATAAGACTTGCAGATTCCGAACTAGAACGTGCAAAAGGACCTCTGTGACCTCTGTGACAGTGAAGAAGAAAGGACAGGGCAGCTGCTGGGGTCAAGACAGGAAGACGTTGACTTGCATGAAGATGCGTGGAGAGGACTTCCTTAGGTTTGAGCCACTTCAAGAGGAAATAGGAGGAAACATCAAGGCCGCCTGTAAGGAGAGCAAGACTTTACTCCTGCAGCCCCCTCAGGACTGTGGATGCCCCTCCCTGACCTTGACCCCTCCCTTCGTGTCTCATTCTGCATCCTCAGGGCTCTCAGGCTCTGACTTAGTCAACAGGGACCCCCTCTTGCCTGTCTTCCTCCTTTTCCCTTCTCTGTTCTTCCTCCTTTGGGGCTTGGTCTCTGCACAGTGAGGACTAAATTACTAAATGACCAGAATGACTAAATTCATGACTGAACCGATTGGCTCCTTAGAGGCCCATCTCTAAGAGCAGCATTCTCTGACTCCGTAGCAGGCCAGTAGGAAGATATTTGAAGACCTGGAATTGTAAGTTCTTAGAAAATCCCCAAAGGCACCGAGTCCAACCTCCTACCGTTTGTACCCAAACTTCCTAAATCATCCACCTTGGCAGCTTCTGATCTCTCTGCCTGTAGGTAACTCGAGACCAGTGGCCATGGGTGCCTTTATGACAGGTCTCCACCTTGGTAGCATTCAGGAGGATTAAGGGCTAAATTAAGGGCACAAAGCCCCTCTTCAGCCCTGGGGCAGCAGGGGGGTCCCAGGGTCGGGAAGACCTTGGTCAAGCGCAGCAAGGAGAACAAGCAGCTACTCAGCCTGGCTGGCTGTTTATGTCGGGGACACAGGGCTCCACACCAGCTGCCGCTGCCCGCCCGGGCCTGTGGCTGCTGACAGCCGGGGCTGGATAATGTGGGCATTCATTGCCTCCAGCTGCTCCTCACAGGGCAGGCTCACCGAGGGTGCAGAGGGGAGTGAATGAAATGGGGGAGCCAAAGCAGAAGGGAGAAAGCAGCCATTTGTATGAGTGCCATGCAACTGCAGGGCCACCATCAGCCTGGGGAGTTGGGACCTTGCTGCAGGGGAACGTGAACTTTGTTGCTTGTCCCGCCTGAGTCTGTAATGAGGCTAAGTAAACACGTCTAGCATTTCCAAATACTCTGCACGATTTTCTCCCCAATGAGCTGCCTGCTGAGAAAGGGCGGACAGACCCAATCCTCCCAAATCAGTTTGGATGCAATTCAATTTTTTTTCTCCCTGGGAAGATAAACTGGGTCAGTCATTTTCTCCGTGATCCACTGATAAGAGTCCCGGATGGGACTTAGGGGACCTCGGGTCTACTCCCAGCCTGTCCACCATGTCCATGACCTCGGAGTAGTTAGGTAACTGTTCCAGGCTTCTACATCCTCCCCTTTAAAATGGACATCACAACAACTCTCCTACCTACTTCACAGGGTGGCTGACAGGACAAAATGAGAAAACAACCATAAATCATATTATACACAAGAGACCAATAAGATCAAGGGGTGGGCAAGCTTGTCCACAAAGGGCCAGGTAGTAAATATTTTAGGCCTTATGTATCCCATAAGGTCTCTGTGGCACGTTCTTCTTTGTGGGTTGTTTTTACAACGCTTTAAAAGTGTAAAAATCATTCTCAGCTCATGGGCCACACGAAAACAAGCCCTAGGTGGCATTTGGCCCACGGGTTGCGGTTTGCCAACCTCTACTGGAGACAAACCACAGGAGATGGTTGGACGGAGGATCAGCCTCCAGTGGTTGTGATAAGTCTAAATGTAAATAAGCATTAATAAATAAATGATATATGGACAGTGTATGAATATAAACGAATATACATATCCATGGTATTTTCTGACTTGTGTCCCCCACTGGTGAAATTACTTGAATCCCAGCCCACAGGCCATCTTGTTCAGATGCTCCTAGACTATCTTGCCATTTGCTGAGCTCTTCACTGCCTAGGCTAGAGCATCCGTGCTGACTGAATCTGTGGTCTTAAACTGGAGGCCAGCCTTCAGCCTCAATTAGGCTGCTTGTCGTGCCTAAGAGGTTCATTGGGCCCTCATAATAACGGCAGCTGACCATCCTGCCTCCCTAGCCACTGCTGCCTGGGCGTAGCTCCTGCAGGGAGAATGGGATGAAGGCCTTTATTTGGGGGCCACTCCTGCGCAGGTAAGAAACAATTAATGTTATATATGGCAATTAGCTCACAAACAGTCTGTTGGGGACAGTGTGTGTTTAAATTTTGTCACTATTTCTCCCATAATACCTTAGTGAGGTAAGCTGGCTTTATCACTGTCATTGGCAAAGAGGAGAATTGTGATGAAGAATATTTAAACATAGCACTCAAGACTCTAAAGTCAACTCCCATGATTGAGTGGAGCAATGGTTTCTGGCTCCTTCTGTCTCTGATGAGGAGTTAGATAACTGCTTCCCTTGTATGTTTCTCTCTTCTTTCCCATCCTCCCTCCTGTGTGAAGCTATTAGAAGAGCCACAGAATGAAGCCTGGATGAGCAGAGCAGAGAGCAAAGAATGGTTGCTTCATCCTCGTCCCTTCCAAAGTATTTCCAAGGGGAAATGGCAGATGAACAACACTTTTCTAGACTAGAATGATGAAAGCCGCCAGATTTCAGATATACCCGTGCAAGAGGCAGTGCTGACCTCACGAATCTTGCTTTTGCTGGTACTGTGTGGAACTATGATGAAATGAATGCAGTCTTTCAGAGCCAGGTTCCTTGATAGCAACCACCTCGTACCTTCTTTTGACAGAGGGGAAGATGGAGAGCCAGAAAGGGTGTGAGCTTTTCAAGAAGATGGCTGGAGTTCAGAGCTGAGACCAGCAGTGCAGTCTCTGACTTGGATCCAGTCCATTGTCTACCACACTCTGCTGTCTCCCAGGGTGTCAGCTGCCCCACACAGCTACACTTTGTGTTTGTCATTTCATTTTTATGATCTCAAGACGTCTTTTCCCACTTCAGATGAAGATCTCTGTCATTTCTAATTCAACACAATGTTTTCTCTCTGAATGATTATTTCCCTTTGTTAGCACATAGGGCTAAAAGCTCAACACTGCTGTTTGAGCATGGCACAGAGTAGAGCTCTATTCTGCAGAGGAAAGCTCTAGTCTTCAAACACAGGCCACCTCAAACACAGACCAAGGA